TTGCCACAGGTCCGCATGATGCTCGAGCTTCCCTGGGCGTTGCAGTTCAGCCAGTCAGCCCCCCGCCGCCGCTGCCGCAGTTGCTGCCTCTGTGGGCTGGCCCAGCCGGCTCGCGCTGCGCCTTGTAGCTAATTCGGTTTGCCCGTTGGCCCGGACACCCTGCTCGCCGCCTGCGCTTTCGCTCGCGGCCGCGACCAAAAAAATAACCCCACCAGCTCCCATGGTACCCACAACGGGTCCGAGAGTGCTTGCACCCCTCCGACTCTGTTCTCCTGTCTGCGCGTTGTCGACCTGGGTTTTTGACCGACAGGCGGTGCGGCCTCGCTGGTCGGACGCTTGGTCGGTCTCCTACTGCCCAGGCCACGACGTCCCCTGGCGTGCAGTTTACAATTCACCCTGATGTTCCGTCTGGGTCTCGCACGTGTGCGGCGTGCAACCCTGGCCGTTTGCAGCCAGCTCAGCCAGCTCAGCTTCAGCCAGCTGCCCCCCCCAGCAGTAGGTTCTGATCCCGCGCTCGGTCGCTGTATAATTAGGCTCGCGCGTATCCCGCTCGACCTTTTCGGACGCCCCATGCGATTTCGCTGGCGGCCGCGACAAAAAAAAATAACCCCACCAACCCATCCAAAAACGATGCCCAGTGGAAGTGGGCAGCACACGGAGGTAAGATTCCCCAGTGGAGGCCTCATGGAGCGTCTGGGGGGCGTTTTCGCGGTCCCGGACGCCTCTTGGAGCGTTTTGGGTGCCTTGGAGAGCTTCTTGGGGCCTCTTGGTGGTCTCTTGGGAACCTCTTGGAGGCCTCTTGGGCGCCTGTTGGGACCTCCTGGGGCCTCCTGGGCGCCTCTTGAGACCCTCTTGAAGCGCTCTTGGGAGCCTTGGGAGCGCTCTTGGAGCCCTCTTGGGCCATCTTGGAGCCATCTTGAAGCTTCGGATAACCATCGGGAGCGAGAAGGCGAGAAAGCCAAACACATAATTAAAAACATATTTGTTGAAGAATGTTGGCCGCTTCGGGGCCTCCTGGGGGAGCTCTTTGGCCACTTGTAGCCGTCTTGGAGCGGTCTTCGGGCCTCTTAGAGCATCGTGGGAACCATCTTGAGGCATCTTGGGATGTCTTGAGCCATCTTGGAGGTCATTTTGGGCTCTCCCAGGCGCTTTTGGAGTCATCTTAAGCAGTGCCCCCCCCCGAAGGAGGCCAACATGTGGCCAACATTTTAGTAAACTCCATGATCTTGGCATTGTCGCCGAGGCCTCTTGGAGCGTCTTGGGTGCCTCTTGGGGCCTCATGGGGGCCTCTTGGGGGCATCCTGGGGGCCTCTTGGGAGCCTCTTGGGGCCTCCTGGCCACCTTTTGGGGCCCTCTTGGGGCAACCATCTCGGAGGAGATCGATCAAAGAAGAGGGGAGCATTTTGCAGCCTCGCCCCCCGAAGAGGCCAAAATGGGGCCACAACCCCAGTAAAACCAATGATTGTGGCTTCCTCGCCGAGGCCGTTTTCGACGCTCCGACCGCTCGCGAAACGCCCCGTCCAGGTCCAGGGGAGGGGGTAGGGGGAGGGGTAAACCCCTCCCCGAAGGGGAAGAAGGGGGTGGAAGAGGAAACATCTTAAAACCACCTACGTCCTGAAGGGCTGGTGGGATTCAACGACGCGGGAGCACCGAGGGACATGGTGACGCCGCCGGACCTGTCGGAATTCAACGTTGAACGATCGGTGCCGCGATCGATTCAAGGTTGAACGATCGACGCGGTGTCAAAACCGTTGCGCGCGCCGACGCCGCGCGAACTACCGTATTTTACCCCCCCCCGTGTGCCAACACGAATGCGTATCTCCTCCCTTGCCCGACGTCCGTGGTTATTTTGGCTCAGGCGCTTGGCCGTTTGTTAATGACGGTTGGGCGCTGCTGCTGGCCCTTGGGCCTGCGCCCTCGACTCTGCGCTGCGGCAGACACGAGGAGGTCGTCTTCACAGGCGCCCGCCATGTCATCGCGCAGGAATGCGGCAAAGGGGGCCAAGGCGGAGGACCGCGGAGGAAGGTCGAGAGCGTGTGGCAGTCAGTGCTCCACGAATCTTTCGCGACGGCAGCCAAGCCGCCAGGTTGGCACGGCCCCCCTCTTGCCGAGCTTTCATTCGTGCGAAGAGCACCGGCAAGAGTTATGTTGCTCCCATCGTACTTCAGGACCACATCCCAGAACTCATTTCGAGCACCCAGAAAAATATCGAAGCAGTGTCGAACGAGTATCGTTTCCCAGGGCCCGACGCGTGCTAACCATCAAGTTTCGGTACTTTTTTGGTGCTCGAAGTTCTTTATGGTGATCAGGGCTAAAGTAGGCTGCGACATCAGAAGGCAAAAAGTCAGAGGAGGACTGAGGACACGGGGCCACAGAGATCTCGGCCAAAATGGAGCTGACGCCCTTCGCCAAGAAGGCGACGGCGCGCGCAAGTTCGTCGGCGCGACCAACCCGGCCGAGTGTCACTATTGTGAGAACGTGCAAAGGTAGTATTTGTCTTAGTCCTGGGCTACGAGGGTGGTGAGACTCCACGGTTTCATGGCATCAGCTCGGTCGTCGCGCACGAGCACGTCGCCAAGGCCATGAACGGCGAGTGCCCGAAAACGTTCGGTCACGCACTCCCGGACCCCTTGCGTCCGTGTCGCTACATGTGGGTCAGGTGCCGCGGATGCAAGCGACACAATGATGCGGACTTCTGGGTCAGCCTGGGAACCGACAGCCTGAAGGCCGGATGGTTCAAACCTGAGGGACAAGCAACAAAGAATTGCCGTCGCAACGAGCCAAACCCATCAAGCTTGGCATGGAAACATATTTCGCGAAACAGGGGCGGTCCTGTAGTGCAGAACGTCGAAGCGAGTAGACGTAGGCATCTTGAAATACGAGAGTCTGGGGGCTGCAGCGGACTTCGCGATCGCTTTCGATGGGGATCTCGGCATCGTGTGCGTGTGCCCGCACTGCAGGACGCCCCCCTCAAGGCGAAGGAGTGGGCGCACTGCGCGGTGCCGACGTGGCTGAAAGAAGTGCGTGACAAAGAGGCGCGGCCGCGGGTGGTTGGAGAAGGGCGCCGACGCGTGGGAGTACGCGTCATCATTACCCCGTCGCGCTCCATCATCGCGGAAGGCGGCGTGGGGACGGCCAGCGACAAGGAGGTGAGGCATATCGAGAAGTCCCAGGGGCACTGCCCAGAAGACCAGGCGGACATGGTCTATTTCGTCCACGGGGCGCCGTAGCAGGAGGGCGCCCCGACGGTCCTGAGGACGGCCAGGCTGACGTCCTTCGTCGGCGCCGCGAGGGGGGGAGATATCAAGCTGGGCGGGCTGTTGGAGGGGGGGCTCGGCGCAGTCATGGGCGCCAGGCTCGCAAGGCCTTGCAAAGAACTCATCAAACAAGTGCCCGCGTTCTCGGAGAAGGGGATCACCGAAGACATGCCAAGGGACTTGCAGATCCGCTCCAGCTGCGAGGGTGCGCGCCTCTCCAAGGACGAGTTGGCCGGCAATTGCCGCGCCGTCCCGCCCGAAAAAATTCCCATGCTGAACCAGTCTGCTCTCGTTCTCCGATTTTCCGGGTTCCGCGGGCGAGCCGCAAACAGCCAAAACGGGCGGGGATAGTGGGCGGCTCTCGAAGCTGCGGGGGCGCGTGCTAGATGGCCAGAAGATGGTCGCAGAGGACTGATCGAGCGCGGCAGCAAACTCTGATCAGAAGATCGATGGTGCCCGACGGGGCGCTCGGGCGACAGCGGTGGCGGCGCCCCACGCGGCGGGCCAGGGTGGAGCGCCGCCATCGCGCAGAGTGAATGGCCGCTGGGCAGCCGAGGACAGTGGACCGCCGTGTGGCGACGGCTCGCCGCGGCATTAGCGGGTCGCGAGGCTCGGGCGGCGCTGCGTGAACGCTTGCATTCGAAGTGTGGGGTTCCCTGGGGCGTGTCGGGGCGCGGGCTCCGCTGGCGGGGCAACGTGTGAAACGGCCGCAGCGAGGCCCAGAACGCGTGGGGTGCAGCGGTCGCCTCGTGCTCGTGAGCAGGCGCCTCTCGACCCCGCGTTCCCCCCATGGGGGCCATGCGACCGCCTCGGTGGGGGAGGGCGGTCGAGCTTGGGGGGGGACCAAACGGCCGAGAAGAGGAACTTGGGCCACCCTCCCGCGTGCCTTCGGGGCGTTCTCGAAACCCCGCCCTCCAGTGTGCCCTCCGCGGTGGGGGGCCCTCGCTGTCGTCCTCTCAGGGGCCCTCGCCCCTCCTCCGCGGGCGGGGGCGGGATCCAGGGGGGATGGGGGCCTCGAGCACGGAGGGCCCCCGGGGTAGGATTTCGAAACCGCGGCCCTCGGCCGTTGGGCGTCGGTGTCGTAAAAATGAGGGGGTATGGGGCGGTGTGAGAAGGCGGTTGGGCCCCCTGGCGCTAGCAGTATCCGGGGCGGGGGGCCCGGCATTCCCCTCTCACCTGTGGGCTCCAATCTCCCCCCCGGTCGGTTTTATTGGTGACTTATTCCATCGCAGAGAGGGGCATCAACTTCCTGGGAGTCGCAGTGTGTCCTGCGAACAGGGCCCCTGGCAACGCCGCCCACGCAAAAGGAACCGCCGTCGTCCCACTCTTCCTTTCTGCCACCATCGCGCTGCCATTAGGTCTCATCGAACATGCGGCCCCGTGTGTCAACAGGAGTGTGTAGCTTCGTCATGGCCCAACGTTTGGGTTCAGGCGTTCCGCCGTTTCTGGATACGCCCACAACCACCTTGGGGCATCAAGTCTCTGGGATTGGCAGATGCCCAGCGAACAGGGCCCCCGGCAACGCCACCCATAAGCAGGAATCGCCATCTCTTTTCTTTTCGTTTTTCATTCGAACTCATCGAAGATACGCATAGCAATCGAACATGATCGTTCTGCGAGGTCCGACGGTTAAAAACAAAACCGAAAGACAGTGCATCTTTGGTTCTAAACGACGCCCGCGTGCAGGGGAGGAAGAAGGGGGAGGCAACGGCTGTCCTTCCGACTCTTCGCCGCGCCCGACAGGTGGCAGGGGCGGTTCCGACCGGAAGGGCGGTGGCAAAGGTGGCCGCGGCAAGGAGCTTTTGTCAAGTTTGACTGGGGCGCGGGGTACGATTGGAAGGTGAAGGAAAAGACGAGGAGGAGGAGGAGGTGAGGGAGGACGAATGGAATTGAGGGGAATGGGGCGGCATGGGATTGACTTGGAGTCCCAAGCCTGGATGCAGAGTAGTAGTAGTAGTAGTACGACTTCTGGCTCTGGTCGTATAGCATATGACTCGCAGCGTCGTTTCTCGAGATGGCGGGGGTTCTGGCCTCCACCCAGGGTCGAACTCGCTCGGTTCGCGCAGTCATGTCATGCGTTTTTTTTGTTGTTTTTGTTTTGTGTGTGTGTGAGTGTGTGTGAGTGTGTGTCGGGCCTCCCCGTGGAGTCGAAGAGCGAGCACGTACCGCCACAGTACTAAGTATCATTGGAAGCCCCTTGGAGTCGGGAGGCCTAGCCTGGAGAGCGAGACCGACTTATCCAGCAGGGCCTGCGCACGACGATTGGGACACACGCCTCTGCGGCCGTGCCAGGGCCTCCAGGTCCAGGTCTCCACTTGCGCACGGGCGGCCTGACGTGATCCTTCCTGCCTTGGGGCCGACCTCCGTACTGCAAGTCGAGAGTTTGCTGCTCACGACGACGTTTGGATGACGACCCCTCAGCGTCAAGAGCAGGATTTCCAGCGGCAGCGACGAGGGAACGACCGTTATTGTTCACGAGTCCTTCGCAGCCGGTCACGGGCAGGCTGTCCAGTGGCACGTCCGCAAGGCGCAAGGTAGGGCCTGCACTGAGCCGAGCTGCCCCTCATCTCAAGTGATGCCACGAGCGGCCTGCTCAGAACCTATGCGGACGTTGCCGCCGCACCTGGTTCTCGCATCGTGGCGGCAATCGTCGTGCTTCATGCACATGTGGGCCCGCCAGCCCGCGAGATCGAGATGGTGCAGCAAGCCGGGATCAGGACTCCCTGCGCCAGTAGCGAAGATGTGGCGTGCCGGTGCGTTTTTTATAGTGATGTTAGCCAGCGTGGACCCCAAACTGCGTTTTTCTAGCAATGTGTGTTGAACCAAATTTGTGGTGCAATACATGTTGTGAAATCTATCAGTTGCCACTTATGTGGTGCAATCTACGTGGTGCAATAGATGTTGTGCAACGTATGTTGTGCAATCTATGTGGTGCAATCTGTGTTATTCAATCTATGTTGTGCAATCAGTGTGGTGCACTCTATTGGGAAGGGCTTACGGCCAGTGCCGCCGACCCTGAAGGGGGACGACCACGACGGCGGCGTCGGCGGCGACGACGACGCTGACATGGGGCAGAGTCATCGAGTCCTCAGCGATGCCTTGTGGGGCCTCTTTCGGAGCTCGCTCGCAGGTCTCTGGGGTGCAGTTTTGGGGCCTCTTGGGAGCATCTTGGGGGCCTCTTGAAGCCTCTTGAGGGTCCCTTCGGGCTTCCTGGGGGCCTCTTGGGTACCTCTTGGGGCCTCGTGTTGGCCTCCTGGGGGCCTCTTGGGGCCTCCTGGGAGCTTCTCGGGGCCGAGGGCTCGAAATGTTCGTTCGGCTCCCGTGTGGGCACCCTCTTGGAGCCGTTTTGGTTGCCTCTGGGGCCGTCTGGGAGGCCTCCAGGGCCGTCTTGGGCCCTCTTGGGTCGTTTTGGAAACCTTTGGGGGCCTCATGTGCCTATCTTGGTGACATCTTGGGCCGTCTTAGGGCGCCGGGAAGCCGAAAGAGCGAGGACGCCAGAATATTTCAAATTCCCTCCAAAAGTAGAAACTTGATTTTGCCTGTTGGCGCCCTCTTGGTGTGCTCTTGAATGCCCCTTCGAGCGTCTTCGAAGCCGCTTGGGCTGTCAGGAGGCCATCTTTGGCGTCTTCGACCGGCTGTTCAGCGAATCGGGGCCCTCTTGGACCGTCTTGGAGGCCTCTTGGGCTGTCTTGGGGCCTTTCTGGGCCACAGGGCCCCCCGGGGGATGTTATTCTGACCCGGGACCCCCCGAGGACCCCCCCTGGGACCCCCCCAGGACCCCCCCAGGACCCCCCAACACCCCTCCCCGGCGGGGGAAGGTGTCAAAGAGGAGGGGCTTCTTTTCGACTCAACTACGGCGTTCCTTCGTTTCGGTTTGGTTTCGCGTTGGCTGGTTCGCTATAGAAGGAGGGCCCAGCGAAAGGTGGGGAGCGACGACGAGGAGGGCCCAGTGAAAGGAAGGGGAGCGGCGACGGGCCCGGGAAAGAGGAGTCAAACGCGGGCAAACGCGACGACGAGGACGACGACGGCGACAACGACGGAGACGAAGACGACGACGAGTACGACGACGAGTACGACGACGAGTACGACGATGAGTACGACGACGACGACGACGACGATGACGTCGAGTCAAACAGAACAGTGCCTTTCACACACCGACAGGGTCGGCGGATTTTGTGCAATCCATGCGGTGCAATCTATGCGGTGTAATCAACGTTGTGTAATCTATGCGGTGCAATTGATTTTACCCATGATTTGACACATCCCACGCTCTTGCAAACATCCCACCCACCCACCCGCACCTTGGTTTGCAAAACCTCTTAAGACCGACTACGACGACACCGACGACAACGACTACGACGACACCGACGACGTCTCCGACGACTTCGACGACGACAACGACGCCGACGCCGACGACGACGAAGACGACCACGACGACGCCAACGAAGACGACGACGAGGGAGGAGGAAGGACGACGACGGCAACAACGACGACAACGACGACAACGACGAGGGAGGAGGGAGGAGGGAGGACGGCGACGACGCGAACGACGAAGAAGGAGGAAGGACAGCGACTCCGACGACGACAACGACGAGGGAGGAGGGAAGACGACGACAACGACGACGACGACAACGGCGACGAAATAGGAGGGACGACGACGAGACGCCGACGACGGACGACGACGACGACGAGGGAGGAGGAGGAAGGACGATCACGGCGACAACGACGACGGAAACGACCACGACGCCAAAGAGGACGACGACGACGAACACGAGGAAAGACAGAGGACGACGTAGGCGACGACGACGACGACGCGGGAGGAGGGAGGACGGCGACGACGACGACGACGACGACGCAAGAGCGCGCGCGCACGCTTTTGTTGAAAATCCGTGTTGCGAAACCTTGTGTTTTGATAAGTTTTTTGGACACACGATTTTGAAATCCTTCCGAAACCGATGGGTTTTCAAGGTTTTCGGCGTACGCGCGCGACGACGCGCGCGTCTGCACTTCGTCCCATGTTTTGCAGAGGATTCTCGCGACGGCACACGCGCAAGGGCGTTCGACAGATTTCGACATGCGCGCGCGCGAAGCCCGTTTAATAGCATTTTGTGAAAATCTTGAAACATCTATGGTTTTAACAAGATTTTGCAAGAGCTCGCGCGCAAACTTTTTTAGCAAATCAGTGTTGCGAAACCCTGTGTTTTTGTAGTTTTTTTGGAAACTCGAGTGCGAAATCCTTCCGACACCAGAGGTTATGGAAGGATTTCGGCATCCGCGCGCGACGACGCGCGCGTGTGCACTTCGTCCTATGTTTTGCCAGGGATTCGCGAAAAAGTGCTATGCTTGAACAAAAGATGTCCCAGCATAGTGTTGTTTTACAAGGGACCCTCAGGGGGGTCGATACCGGCCCCCCTGGGATAGTGTAAGTTCAAATTTAGGGTGGACATGTGGTCAGAATCATATATGAGTTTACATGCCCGAAAGGGGTAGCGATAACTCCGGGGGGGGGTAGAGTCTATTTATTTCAAGGCTGCCGCCTCTGCCGCCGACCCCAAATCAGGCCTCGTGTTTTCTTTGGTTTCAGGTGGTCCCCGCGAGCTTTCCTGCAACAGGGGGGTAGTGTTCATATGGAGTATGGGTAGGCCAGGGCAATGCGCGCGTGTGTTTGGGCGTGTTTTTTCCTCTCTTTCTCTCCCTCTCTTCCTCTCTCCTTTGTGTCTTCTGCGGTCGTCTTCGAATCTTTTGTGGGAGTTTTGGGTCCATCTGGGGCGTCCTGAGTCAATAATTGCTTCTCTCGGGGCCGTTTTGGCCCGACGTGGGCGCTGTCTTGGGGTCGTCGTCGTGGCCCCTTTTGGGGCTATCTAGGTTCACGAGGGCAGCCCTGAGAGATTCGAGAATTCAGAGTCCCGGTGGGGGTCGGAGTGAGCACGTGCCTGGAGGTGGTGGTGCGGGGAGCAGTGCGGGTTGCGGCGGCGAGGGGGGCGTGTCCGTATTGGAGGCCTCTTGGGCCGTGTTGGGCACCTGAGGCCATCCTTGGCAAGCTTGGGTGCAGAGTGGGCCGTCTTGGAGGCATTTTGGGGCAATCTCAGCGGTCTTTGGGGCTATCGTGGCCGTTTCGGAGGTGTCTTGGAGGCATCTCGGCCTGTCTTGGAGGTATCTTGGGGCGGACCGGGAATGCCGGGGCCGGGAGGGGGATTGCCGGAGCGTGGTGGGGGGTCCCGGCGAGGGTTTTGCATGGTGGGGAGTGTATGCGGTTGTGCCGGAGCCAGGAGGGGGGGTGCCGGAGCGTAGTGGGGGGTCCCGGCGAGGTTTTTGCAGAGCCGGGGGCCCCAAAAACAGAGCTCCAGAGGCTTGGGGAGCGGTCTTGGGGGCCTCTTGGGCGGTCGTGGAGCGTCGGAAAGCTGGAAAGCGAAAAACATTGAAAAAATCAACAACGATTTTGGCCTGTTGGGACAGCGGGGTGCCGGGGCGCGGCGGGAGGTCCTGGGCGAGGTTTTTGCAGAGTCGGGGGGCCCAAGAGACAGAGAGCTCCAGAGGCGAGGGGAGCGGGCTTGGGGGCCTCTTGGGCGGTCGTGGAGCGTCGGAAAGCTGGAAAGCGAAAAACATTGAAAAATCCAATGGGAATCGATGATTTTGGACTGCTGGGGCGGCGGGGTGCCGGGGCGCGGCGGGGGGCCCCGGCGAGGATTTTGCAGAGTCGGGGGGCCCACAAACAGAGCTCCAGAGGCTTGGGGAGCGGTCTTCGGGGCCTCTTGGGCGGTCGTGGAGCGTCGGAAAGCTGGAATGTGAAAAACAT